GGTGCGCAAGGCCGGCATAGACGTGCTGAAATGTGCCATGAGGACGGATGACTGGTGAGAAAAGGGTTGGGATGCGGTGGGCGGCGCAGCCGGTCTGAAGGAGATCTTCGAGAAGCTCAGCATTCGGGAGGCGAGGAGCCTGGCAAGAGCCATCGGCTCCTGCTCGAACACCAGTGATCCTGTCAAACGGCAAGCGATGTATGAACTACTTCGTCTGCTGGTGCCGAATTTCTTCGACTCGTTACCGTCGCAGGAATCTCGACAGCTACTGCGGCTGGAGGACGTGATGCCGCTGTTTAACCTGTCCGGCGAAGCCACTCTCATAACCCTCGTCTCAACACCCCTGTCTGACGACCTGATGGGCTTTTTGATCCGCCAAATGCTCGTCTCTCGCGTGCCACTACTAAGGGACATTGTCATTGGGTCAGTCCCAGCTCATTCCTCGTTCAGGAAGCGTTTACTGGACGGCCATCTCACCGACTTGCTTACGTCGCCTGAGGCCTACGAGCCTCAGATAGGTCAAGGCAGGGAAGCTATTTTCGCAGCGATGGATTTCACCCTGGACCTTTTGCATAGCGATTCTGATGTTTCGGAAAAGGCGCGCGTGGTCGATTGGAAGACCCAGGCTCGATGCATCGACGTGACCCTCACCACTGCCCGGCGCCGAAACGTGTCTTCCGACGCGATTATCGCTTTCCTGGAGCAGGCACTACCGCTCATGGGACATGCGGAACGGAAGATCAGCGATTGGACACCCTTAATCTACAAATTGATAGAACTTTGGGTCATCGCTGCTTTCCCAGAAGCACATCTAGAGTCGGTCTCGGATGCGCCGGCTGCACGTTATCGGGAGCAAGTGCATCCCTCCAGACCGCGACCAGTCCACAAAGATCACTTGGAGTCATTGCTCCGAACGGTCTTGAGCTCGCTATCATCCGAACAGTTTGAGCCGTGCCTCAACTTGCTGCTTCCTAAGACCGTTGCGAAGGCAAAGCTTCCCTTGTTTAAGATCATATGTAAGGAGTGTCGAAAGATTGATCTGGATCAGCCTACGCCGTCCGAGAAGGAGCAACAGCTTTTGCCATGGAAGTCGTCGTTCATCCTATCTCTGCCCGGTCGTGATGCAAGATGGCTATTCGAGCGCGCAGAACTAGTGTCGCCAAAAGAGAGCCCAATCAAGTCCTTCGCCTTTGAGTGGCCAGCAAGCGCAGGGGATTCGGCATCTTTCCGGGACAGCTTATTCCGAGTCCACTTCGAAGCCGTAAACAGAGAACAACCCGATCATGCGAAGTCGATCGCCCATGAATGTGAGCTATACTTCCTTCCCTGTATCAAGAATAGTACTGACGCCTATCTCTCCCGCACAGTGCTCGAGGATGTGAAACGCAAGGCCGTGAAGGCCCGTGACGCCGGCGACCGGCTGCAGTGGGCAAAGCTCACGATCACGATCGCAACGATGAGCCGGAATCTTCGCTTTCTGAAGGAGGTGATCTTTTGGACACCGCGCTTCCTGCGGGACCCGGTACGCCCAATCTCTGTCTCATCATCTACATACGGATTGCTGACATGACATATCTCTCTAGTTCGTGAGACCGGATCTCGCCCGAAGGATTTATCGGGAAGACGTTGCATCCGTTCTGTCATGCGTGACGTCGCCCACTCGAGAGGCACTCGCGGCTGATGTACACATGGCTGACGAGGTAATATCTCATCTTCTCGAACAAGCCCTTCTAGTTACCCAAGAGCCGTGGTACAAAAGCCCCCAGGATCGCAATTTTGGCCGGCTGCTTAGGCTCGTCGTTTCGAGCCGCGTACACGCGGCGAAGGGCTTGTGCTATCGTGGCCTAGGAAGCGAACAGGACGTGGTGGACACGCTATTCGAGGGCATCATACCAATACTGCTGCGATATGAAACTTTGGGCGGTTCGGAAGGATACGACCTCCTTGGCTGGGGAGCATTGTCCGGTCCGCTTACAGATATGCAGTGCCCACTGAACCCACCACCTTCGATTCTAAGGCTCTTTGATTCGCTAGCCCAACAGCGAGATCATCTCTGGGCCAAGCAGCGTCTGCTGCGGAGCCCACAAACCGCATCTTTACCCGAGGGGCTACCGCGAGGCTTGCCGCTTCAGTATTTGCTTCCTTCGCCGCAATGGACGATTGCGGTGATAAAGCATCAAGGGCTCAGCGGCTTTGTCCAAAAGAGAGTGACCGAGATCGTCTTTTCTGATCCTGCCGTACTCCTCCAGAAGGTCAAGGAGGACGACAAAGACCTAGAACCCTTGGTGGATAGTCTGACATTTGCCATAAAGGTTTACCTCGGCCAGTGGCCGGTGCATGAACGAGGCCCAAGAATACTAGAGATCTGGAGGCACTACTCGGAGAGAATTCCGTCTTCTGCTGGGCATCTGGAGATCTTCAAGAAATATATGTACTCCTTGCTGGGATCCAGGAGGTTACGGAAGCTGGCACGGATCATCGACCCTCCCCAGTTGCCTTCGCTGGAGATATTCAAGAACATGTCGCACGACTCACCAAGCCTTGAATGGGAACCCCGATCTGAGATTAAACGCGAAAGTGCACAAGGTTGTTGGAAGGGGTCCTTGCTGCAACGTCGATTCTTGGCCCACAAGGTGGACAGGTGTTTAGATATAATACTGGTATATTCTCATCCCCACATCAGCTGGTCATCGCCTGAGAAGCCCAAAGCCTTCGATCTATGGCGGCCCAAACATAGCCCTTGGAGTTTTTCGTGCCAGTATCGGGAGTCTCTCATTGCCTCCGCCATGCTGTTTCTCAACGGTTTAGCCCGCAATACGGACCGCATCTTGTCCAAGCCATTCCCCGAGAATACACAGATCCTTCGGTATCCGCCAGTGCACCTGGATTACGACTTTCTGTCCACGATTGATGATCAGACAGAAGCTGCGACCGCAGCTATGTCCCTACTTGCTCGCTTGGTTCGAATAGTACCGCCTTCCCTCCTCTACGACCTTTCGCTCTCTCTGTTGGACACTCTCCATGTCCTTCCCAGCGCAGCGCCAAAATATGGCCTAGTTCAGCGATTTGCATTCGAAACAATGGCGCTGGTGCGGCGCTCAGACCGGCCAGAATTGGCTGCGACGCTAGGATTGAAAGCGCTTGAGCTGTTCCCGGAAGCTTCGTCGTGGCACCGGATGGCCTTTCCTTCGTCGCTGGCCAAGGTCCTCAGTCGCTCAGATAGGGAGCGGGTAGTACACGATTTCACTGCGTATGTCTTCAAGTCACTGGAAGAGCAGAAACAGCCAACAAGCTCAGACGCCGGTGGAGTGGGATCCGGAGAGACAATCATCAAGATCACCACGGTGAAGATGTTGGCTACGATGCTAGCGGAGAGCATATCTGGCGTGTCAACCACCGTTTCCGTCGTTGAGGCCTTGAAGGACCTCTTTCACGCCAGCAATCATATCGATGTCCGGGTAACGGTGTGCACGGCTCTGCTGGATATTATTGACAAATACCATGACAGTGAGAGAGCCTACGAAATATTTATATCGTTCACACCCTACGCCGCGGTGCCCAGCGAAAGCAGCGCCAGTGGATCATGGTTGGAACCAGGGAACGCCAAACTTCCAAGGATAGAGTATGAACGGCCTCTTCTCGATCTGTTTGTCTCTCAAGCCTGCCTGAAATTGCCTTCGAAATACCACGAACACTACACCTACAAGGCACTTCTACCCCTTCTGGACGAATCGACGAGACAACATAATATATGGATGCGCCGGTTCCTTGCGCAAGTCGACTTATCGCCCGAAGAGCAGTCTGTGACTGACTTTGGGCCTTTTGCGCACGATATGATTCATCGAATGATGGAGTGCTGGTCTGAGTACCTGCCCCGGGAGTTCCTTCTACGGTACAGGTCTTGGATTCTAAGCTATCTTGACTGCATACGGCTCCGGCACATCGCAGACAAGTTGGCTGCGAAAGACCGATTGTGGCGCACACGGGACTCAGGATCTCACTGGAACCTGTGGTTCTACCATCATGCTAAAATGAAGTCATTGCATGTCGCATTCGCAGGCATTCAGATAAACACACCGCCTGAGGTTGCAAATGGCATCACACATGAAGATCTCACGGACGAGATAGTCATATGTGCAGAGGCCTTTCTTCGCAATCCCTTCAACTTGGCGGGCCATCAGGTCCACGTATCCCTGGACCGAATTACAAACCTACTTTCCACGCTAGGGATCAACCAGCCTTTTCGTCGAACTGAATTACTGCCGATTGCAGAACGAATCATTGCATTCGCACAGGGACTGCGAACCGAGGAATGGATGAACGACCCACATCGTAGTCCTCCTGTTCTTCCCTCCAGACTCCAACTAGAAGCTCTGCTTCTCCCGTTTCCTCAGTTTCACAAGGAGTCTCCGTACCGCTACACCAGGTTTGTGTCCAGCACACTATCTTTGGTCGAAGAGTGTGTCCGCCTTGATACGTACGTCGCAGATATACCTACTCTCCGGGAAGCGATGAACTGCGTACGGAAAGAGGATGCGCGCGAATGTGCACTGGGATTCGGCCAGCGGTATGAGGCCAGCACAAGTCCGCTCGTACAGTACGTGAGGGTATGGCTGGCGCAGATTCTGGTACTGAAATGCGACATGCACATAGACGACAGTGATTCCACCGGAAGAGCAATGATGCTTGAGTGGAGGAAAAGTTTGAATGAGTCGATACGGTCCATTGGGTGGTCTACATATCCCGATGCCTTGTGACCTTATCACCAGAGATGGCATGTTCCTGTATAGCACCTGTTACTCTGCAATAAAATATTTAACTTCCAGCGTGTCTCATAGAATATTTAAGTAAACAAGTACACTATAGAGGGAGTTAGAAAAACCGCCTGAAAGCAGTATCATTACCCATAGATCAATCCACGCTGGAAAGTAGTGAAACGATGCAGTTTCATCGTTATTTAGCCCCCAAAAATCTCGGGAACGACTAGAATTGCAAAAAAAGCCCAGGCACAAGAATCGAACTTGTGACCTCACGTCAATTTGGTAAACGTGCGCTCTGCCAATTGAGCTAGCCCGGGTTCTTGTTGCATTAGTCTGCGGGATTTGGCCTATAGTTAGCGGGCCACGGCTTACACCCCCAAGACTGTGACATGAGGACAGAGCGATGCACGTAAGATAGAACTAGGAGAGAATAGCGACTGGATATTAGCTTCTCTAGATCCAATTTGATTAATCTAATGAAGGAAATGGTATGCGTCAGTCCGTAGGCATCACCATAGTAAAGCCATCCGCTAGTTAGGTGGGCAACGTGCCGGTTGCCAGCCCATCTCTAAACGAGACGGATTTCTTCCGCGGCAGATAAGGCTGTGAGAATTAAAGAATTGATCATCAGGGCTAGATGAGGCGGTATCTCAGTTAGTCACGGTTGGCCCAATGAAATCTATCCAGCTTGTGCTTGGATTGTCAACGTGCAGCTTTACTTGGGTCTTATGCGCCCGCGCCGCATGAATTGAAGACAGGTCTCTGTCCGATTCCCATCAAAGCGAATCCCCGCGTGAGGTTCAGCTTGGTTCTAGCTTGTAAAAGTGCATTACGAGTGTGTTGCATTCCTTGAATTATCTTCTAATCAGTGCAAGCGGATATCAAGGATCGGTCTTCTGTCATACCCGATAGCCTATCCATAGCCTATGCAAGCACGTGATGCAACCACCATCCGCACTCTTACTATATAACTTATAACTTGACCCAGGTTCTAAGCGTCCGTAGTATCCTTCCATCACATTCTCTTCTCTAGTCGGCACCATGCAAGCCATCCGTCTCCATCCTGCTCCCCCAACATCCACACCCTACTCCCCGTCGAACCCGGCGCCTTCCACCGCCCTTCGGCTAGACCGTGATGTCACCATTCCCGAGCCCTCTGCGCCCGGAGAGCTTCTCATCCGCGTGAAAGCCACAACCGTCATTCGGGACATGCTCACTTGGCCTGAAACATACGAGCACGAGTATGCCATCTTAGGCAACGATGTAGCCGGTATTGTGGTCAAGACGTTCTCATCGTCCAGCAAGTTCAAACCCGGCGATGAAGTCTTCGGCATGACCAATACATCCCGGGCAGCCGCCTGGGCTGAATATACCATCGTCACGGAGGATGAGGTGGTCCGGAAGCCCTCTACATTGACATTCGCCGAAGCGGCTGCAATCCCTCTCAGCGCGCAAACTGCCTACGAGTCCCTGTTTGAGCACGCGCGGATTGCCCGACCCACGGTGGAAGAGATTCTGTCCCGTTCTGCTACGAAGAAAGAGTGCTCGGTGCTGATTACTGGTGCCGCGGGTGCAGTGGGCGTATATCTCGTGCAGTTGGCCGCAGCAGCAGGGGTGAAGGTTGTCGCTGCTAGTAGTTCCAATGCGCGTAATCGCGAGTTTCTTCAAAGCCTTGGGGCCGACGAGGTCGTGGAGTATAGCATGCTGGATGAGTATCATGGAAAATTCGATGTTGTCATTGATGCGGTCGGTGGAGAAGTTTTGGAAAAATGCTGGGGATATGTTGCCGAGACAGGAGTGCTCGTTTCAGTGGATTCGGCGAGCTTCAACTTCGTGGAGGAGCATGAGAAGCGTGGACTGCGGAAGAATGAGGTACGGGCGCTCTTTTTCATTGTCAGGGGCAGTCCGGATGCATTGCACTTTATTGCCGAAGCGGCAAGTCATGGAGTGGTCCGGCCTCTCGTGGCAGACATCTATCCACTTAGTCGGGCACGGGAGGCGTATGATGTTGCAAATGGGAGGGCTTATGGGCGCGGGAAGGTAGTACTTGCGATCTGACAGTCCTACTGTCTGAGGTCAATGCCAAATGTATCCCTTTTGAGCTCGTTTAGCTTTCATGGTCTAGTCCACGACCAACTAGTCATTCATAATCCATCAATCATTCCCCATGGAAAGTCATCTGCATCTCCAGCACTGTACCAACCGCATAGATCGTCAATCGTAGAGAGTGCAGCACCCAGGTCGTTGTTGTCTTTCGATAGACCGTCTATGACGGGGTTTGGATCTACCCCTTGTGTATCCAAAGACGACAGATCACTTGACCCACGCATATCGCAATCATTGGAACCTTTCCCCAAACCCAAAACACACCGAGCAATCGTCTGGATCTCGCGCACATTCCTCGCGGTCCGCGGCCAGACTTCCCCCAGCACCTTGAGACACCCCAGCGTCATCCGGATTTGGTCTCTGGCGATGGCAAGCTCTTTGCCCTTGAGAAGCGTACTGCAAGCGGAGAGGAGCGCCAACATCCCCTCGCTGACCATACAGGTCGTAAAAGGGGTGTGATGGAATCTTGGGGCTGGTAAAGCTAATAGACGGATTTGGGCCTCGACCGCCCGTAACACCCGGGTGGTATGGACGTTGACTAGCTCGGGCGTGGGTGTGTCGCGGGGCGGTTCCCGGGCACAGCTGGATACTTTCTCAATGGCGTTGAAATTGAGTGCCGACAATGGACGATGGAGGCCAACGGTGGATCTAGCTAGTGAGTGGCCGGATTCGCGAGGAAGAAACAAGAAACTTACACATGGATAAGCAGATGTGCTTGAAACAAAAGCTCGTCAATCTCGCCCTTCCCCTTGATGACGTGCTTTTGTTCCCGGGGCAATAGTAGTTGCCATCCGTCCAAGCTACAGTCCACCGCCTGAATCAGATGCGTAGAATCTTCGACGGTGGCCACTTTGGGGGTTATGGATATGGCGGACGCGGCGCACTGCACGGCGCCAATGAGGTATGCGAAAGAGGAGAAGTGAACATTGTCGGTGATGAATTCGCGCTGATTGAATTCCTCGAGAGTTCTAGGGATGGGAATTACCCCCAACTCGTAATCGGACTCGTCGCAGGGCAATTCAACGGTCACATCAAGGTCCATGACCCTGAAGTTCATCGTGCCGAGGGTGCCCGCATAGTAGGCGTCCACAATATACAGCGTCCACCACGTGCGTCTCCAGGATTCCCTCCAGACCTGATCGGTGGCTCCCTGGGACGCTGCAAATTCCGCCCTGAACATTTGCAGGTCAATGGCGATCTGAGCGGCGCGGTCCAACTGTGATTTTGCATCCGCCTTGTAGTCATACCAGAACAAGGCTATGGAGTACAAGATGCGACACTGAACCTGAATGGGATCAGATGGCCCCAGGTTGGAAAGGGTGGATTCAACCCTATCTTTGAGTGGGATTGACCATTCTCGGGCACTGTAGATATTTCCCATAAAGCGCATAGCAGTAAGCAACGGTGCAAGACCATGCTCTGTGCGAGGGTCTTGACATAGTTCTACAAGATGTTTCCTTGGTAGGACAAATGGATGGCATACGTGAAAGTTCTTGTAGTAGGAGTGGATCAAAGGGTCATTTGCGATATTCTCCGACCGGGAAGAGTTCTCTGAGAGTGGAATGCAGTCGGTGCTGCTGTCACCCAAATCAACGTTGAGCATGGCAGACATGGGTGGAGCATCTGCCGGGAGAGACAACATCGTACACTGCTCGAACCCAGCTATGCCAGCAGCTTGTTGTGGGCTCCCATGGCTTGTGGCATGATCTCTTAGGTATGGCCGGGAATTAAGACCGCGTCGTGAAGGAGCATAGCTGCATGACTGGCCGACCTCAGCACAGCGCGTACAGCTCGGTCGCTTCCCATCACATTTGGCATGTCGAGAGCGACAGGGCAAGCAAGCCAGCGATGAACGTTTCACCCGACGGTTGTGCATGATTGGAGTCACCTCTGTGAGGTGCTTGCATTATCTCCACCCCGAGAGAACTCGACATCGATGGCAGAGGACGAAGACCAACAGATGATTCAGAGTCAATCCATCCATCGAACACATGATGGGGGAGACGCTAAGCTGTTTGTGGACGGCATCCCGGAACATTGAATAGTCCGATACCAGATGGGGAAACTGTATGCAATTTCGTGTGCTGCTTGAGTATAATCTCAGTTGCTGAAGATATTATTATATGTATCAGATAAACAAATCGTCTTATATATTTACAAATCTTTGAGAGTCCCTCATCGGGCAGTGAGGATACTTGACTACTGATTCAGATAGGTTCCGTCCTACTACTAGTAGTTATACTAGTAGATATATATCACGGGACGCAACACATAGTAAGCCGCTGGCTGTGAGAGCCTGGAAATTACGATAACATAATCGTCACAAAGCTTGCATATTTATTAAAAAAAAAATATCTAGAGAAAAGCAAGACTATTCATAATAATACATTTTGATTATTCTTTATATTCAAATCATATTCAACCCGAATTCTCCATATTCAAGATCTCTTGGGCATTCCCCGAATAGATCTTCTTGATCATATCCTCATCAAACAGCTCCCGCAAGCCTGCCTCCATTCTCTCACTCAGGACAATGCAAGCGTTCTCTGGGGTGTATGGATAGTCACTTCCATACAGTAACCGGCCCGGCTCCCCGACGGTCAAATACCCCTTGATCAAGTCGGGGAACGGAAAGCCGGCCAGGTCAAAGTAAAATCGGGTTCGGAAGAGCTCTTTCACTCGGGCACTCGACGGGGAATCGGTCCGCCCCAAGATCAGCGTGGCAAATGCGGTAAACCGTTCCACGAGGGGCGGGATGGTGGCAGCACAATGAGAGACCAGGAAGGTCAGGTTCTGATACTTGTCCACTGTTCCCGTCAAAAGAAGATTGACCACAGCCCGAGTCGTGTCAAAGAAATACTCCATCATCGGGGTCGGATACTGGTCCAACGCCCTGGGGACACCGGCATGGCCGGGGGTACAACATTCCGTGGGATGCATGAAAATCACCGCTTTCCGCTCGTTGAGCTTGGCAAAGACAGGGTCTAGTTTGGGATCGCCAGGGTAATAGCCTTGCGCATTCGTCATGATCGCGAAACCCGCGGCGCCGAGCTCCAACGCCCGGTCGATCTCCTTCAAGCTCCCCTCCACGTTCGGCAATGGGAGAGCAGCAAAGAATCCAAATCGAGTGGAATATTTCGCGCAAATCTCTGCCATCTCGTCATTGGTCTCCCGGGTGATTTTGATTGCCAATTCGTCATCGTCAATTTTC